GTGTCCCCGTCACCCACAGGGCCATCAGCCCCTCTCCCTGGTCTCAATCCCACCCCAAGTCCCCATCACACCAAGGACCGTTACCCCCAGACCCACCACGGTGTCCTACCCCCAACCCAGGACCCCGACACCCCCAGGAAAATCAGGCCCTCGTCCCTGGTCCCCGCTGGCCCCATCACCCCAAGGAACATCAGTCCCAACCCCATCATGGGGTCCCATCCCAGGTCCCCATCAGCCCCCCCATCCCTGGTCTCCATCACCCCCGAGGACATCAGCCCCAGCACCATGATGGGGTCCCAGCCCCTCCCCAGGTCCTCATCATCCTTGGGGTCATCTGTCTGAGCACCATCACAGGCTCCCTGCGCCTTCCCAGGTCCCCATCACTTTAAGGGCATGAGCCCCCCATCCCTGGTCCCTATCTGATGTCCCCATCACCTCCAACCCCATCACCTGGTCCCCATCACCCCCCAAAGACACCAGCTCCCCATCCCTGGTCCCTATCTCAGGTCCCCACCACCCTCAGAGCCACCAGCCTCCATCCCTGGTCCCCATCCCATCCCAGGTCCCCGTCACAACAAGGAACACCAGCCTCAGCCCCACCACAGTGTCCTACACCCATCCCAGGTCCCTACCACCACCCCCAGGGCTATCAGCCCCCATCCCTGGTCTCCATCTCTGTCACCCCCAGAGCCACCACCCCAGACCTCAAAAACCTCCAAGAAGCAGCAAGGAACCGGGGGAACCCAAATGGGCCAAATCTGTCTGAAAACACCCCAAAAAAGGCAACATTTTTCACCTGCCAGGGCTGCTGCTTTCCCTCCCCCTTCAATCTGCCTTTAAGTGCAGCTGAGAGCTTTTATCTCTTAATCGTCCTCCGGTGGGGAAATAATAAGGGAAGGAGGGGGGGGGAAGAGAAAAGACAAGAAAAAAGGAAAAAAAAAAAAAGGACAAGAAAAAAGGGGGGAAAAAGACAAGAAAAAAGGAAGGGAAAAAAAAGGAAAAACATAAGAAAAACCCTTATTTACTTGGAAGGGAAGGGTGGGGGGGTGTGCTGCGATACCTGTGGGGTTCAGGGGGATTTTGGGGGGGAGAAATGAAGGGGGAGGAGGCGTTTTGGATCCTGCCTGCCTTAAGCCTGCCTTCACCAAAAATCGTAATTTTCGGGCCCCTTTGCAATTTTTCTGGCTTTTTCTCACTTTTTTTTTCTTATTATTTTCTGGCTTTTTCTTGCTTTCTGGGGGACCTTGATAACAGCAGAGCGTCTTCATGCCGCATCACCCGGAGACCTTTTCAAATAGCACCAAAAAGGGAAGATTTCAGGAGACCCTACCCTTTTTTTTTATTATTTTTCATTTTAAATCTGGAAATATTTTAAGCAGGAATCGGCTGCTGCCGTGGCTATGGTTACTGTGTCTTCCCTTCCCAGTTTTTCTCACTCTGCCGTTAAACCCAAACACAAATAAAAAGCTTTCGCAGCCGTTCCCAGCGCCTTATTTTTAAATATTTGAATGGGAACATGCATTTTTTCCCCTGTCAAGAGATAATTTCCCTTCGCGCCTGACCTTCCTCCACCAGCGAAAGTGGCCAAATCTTGTCAAAACTAAAAACAAAATAAAAGATGGCGGGAGGGCTCACACCAAGCACTGGCACCGAGGCTTTGGGCATGTCCACTGCATTATTATCATATTTTAACATCTAATTAACTAGCCTTAATTAAAAGCCCCACACAGAGGGCAAGCCCTGGCAGAAGTAGGCTGAGCCCTGGCAAGAACTCATTGCACCTCAGAGCGTCACCCACACTCCCTGCAACATCAGTTTAAGGCAGTGCCTCTGTACTGGTCCCAGTTTGAATCCTGAGTCTGCCCCAGCTTGAATCCAGAGCAGTGTCCAGACCTTGGCAATTAATATTCTGGCTTAATTAACCTCCCCTTCCCAGTGCTTCCCCAGGGCCAATTATCCGGGCAGTGATAACGTGGGTGCCATGGGGGCCTGCGGGTCAATGGCAGGGCGGTTTCACCAGGGGGGTCAGCGTCCCCCAACCCATTTTAACCCATTTTAACCCATTTTAACCCATTGTAACCTATTTTTCAGAAAAAAATCCTCCCCCCACTTGAATTAATTTCCATGGGCCTTTTTTTTCAGTGAACCCAGAAAGCTGGGGGGGGGGGAATTAAGG